CTCCCTTCTTCTCCCTCTAAAAATCAATAAAAAGGATTATGAGCCCTGAGCAAAGGAGTAAGGAGTCACAGGACCACTGACAGATGGCCAGCTGTGTGCTGTCACACCAGGTTAAGGCAAGGGTGATCTGTCAACCTTTGGCTGTAGGAACAGGGTTTCTCTCCCCTACCCTACCCCCAACACATTCTCTACTTTTGTCAACTGCATTATTTACATATCATCACATCACAACTGTTGGCCCTGGAAGGGATGCTGGAGGGCATACCCAGGGTCCTTATGTTATTTCTTGCAAGATGCACTGGTAGCCCGGCTGGTGTGGCTCACTGGTTGAGCATCGACCCATGCACTAAGAGGTCACCAGTTTGATTCCTGGTCAGGGCACATGCCCAGGTTGTGGGCCTGATCCCCAGTGGGGGGCATGCAGGAGGTGGCCAATCGATGTTCTCTCTCATCGATGTTTCTATCTCTCTCTCTCTCTCTCTCAAATCAATAAAGGCAAAATATTAAAAATAAAAAATAAAAAGACGCACTGGTAATGGGATGTGGACCTGGCCATCTTTTGTCACTTGCTCGGATTCTGCTGAGGAAATCACTGGAAATCAGTAGTATTTGAAGGTGAGGTCCACACAGAGTTCGTATTAACTCACAGCGCAGCTCCCGGCTGAGAAAGGAGGCACCCCCACCAGGTGGCAATAACTGATCTCTTCACTTCAGCCCCAAGGTGCTTGTGAGAGACCAGGCCACGAAGACTGACCGACTGCAGGGAGAGGACCCCTCCAGGGCCTCGTGCTGTTTCCCACCCCATTCCCCCGCTAGCGCCTCCTCCTTTCTCCTCTTCTCCTCCTTCTGACATTTCCTAAGTTAATACAATTACCTGATGTCTGTACAGGGTTTCTGTTTGTAAGGTTGTTTTGTGTGTTTTTTAACATGTCTCATTTAGTCTTGCAACCACTCTTAAGTAGTATGTTCTTTTTACAGATGAAGAGAAATTTTATGTAGGGACTGGGGATAACATTCAACTCCTATTATATATTGAATCCTTGACTAAGAGCTTCCCCTTGACCCACTCCCAAACACACAATCCCATGAGTGTTAGATATACTAAAATCTACTCTAGCCTGGCCAGTGTGGCCCAGCGGATTGAGCATCCTCCCATGGACTGAGAGGTCGCAGTTCGATTCCAGGTCACGGCACATGCCCAGGTTTCAGGCTCGATCCCCAGTAGGGGGCGTGCAGGAGGCAGCAGATGGATGTTTCTCTCTCACATCGATGTTTCTCTCTCCCCCTTCTTCTCTCTCTAAAAAATCAAGCAAGCAAGGAAGCAATAAATAAAATCCACTCTGACTAGGACACCCAAGCCCAGTGCTCCTCCGTTATGCACAACAGTTGAGAGCAACTTGGGGGTCCATACATCTGGGTTTTATAGTCCAACCCTCTACTAGGTAGCTATGTGACCTTGAGTTGGTCACTTTCTCTCTGAGCCTTGGTTTCCTTAACCCAGAAAACGGAATTACCTCTTGGGGTTAAGTAATAATGCTGTACTGGTAAACATTTAACTAACTCTCTGGAGAGGAACAAGGTATGTTTACGTGGGTGTATGTTCATTATTTTCACTGAAAGGATATACAGCACATCATTTATAATATTCTTTACTTTAAATCCCATATAGTCAATTAATTCCCACAGAAGGTATTTCTTTTTGTCAAAGTTGCAATGGACAAACAAGTATAATTCTGACACAAATGTTAACTGAAATAAGTATATTAATAAAACAAAAATGAAACAATAAAGACTGTCAGACCATGAGTTGTTTGTGAATGATGTGAACGACCTCTTTGCTGAATCAGGTAATAGGTTTCAAATACAGGACTTTTTTTTTTTCAATTTTCTATGCTATTAGCAACGTTTAACAGCTACAGACATGAGACACTTTTAAGTTTATTCTGTATTATTAACTTTCCCCATCACTTTAAGTCGAGACCATCAGTAAAACGATGGCTTACGCCCTGACTGACAGCACTTTCCATGGTATACATAATCCCAGCAGGCCAGTTCTGAGCCGCCAACGTGCCTCCCTTAGCAGGGAGCTGGGAAGAGATGTGCAGGAACACGCCATTAGAAGCATTCCCACCAGACACATAAAAATAAAGGTGGGGACCTCAAAAGCATAAATAACAGTAGCATGTAAAATAATTAGGAAGTAAGTTTTGAGTACTGTCTTTTCAAATATAATTTAATTATTGGAAGCTTATATATTTCAATTTTGAATAAGGGCTATACGTCTAACCACCAGCTCCCTGAACTCCTGGAAATGAGACAGATCCTGTGAGTGAGCCCTCACAGGCCGGCTCCAGCACGCCTGGGCTGACAACCGTTGCTGGTGGTTACTAGTCACGGTGCTGTAACTGGTGGCCATTTGCTCCATGGGCACACAACTTCCACAACACTCTTAGTGTCTGAATTTTCATGGAACCTCATATTGCATTTTGAATTTTTTTTTTTTAAATCCTGAGACAGATGTTCCATAAGTAATGAATAACTAAACCATCAGTCTATTTCTCAAAAACCTGGTCAGATAAATTAGCTTAGAAAAAGAGCAGCCCTTGTAAGGAGCAAAGATGGTCAAGAATGAAAGTGTAGGTTCTTTCTCCACTCTGGAAACTACCCTACTTGTGTTTAATTACAGAACCTGAGCAGGAAATGGACCAGGTATTGAAGGGGGGAAAATAGATTTTAAAAACTTACAAGCACAGCAGCAAAGCAACAGTAGAAAAAATTGCTAGGGTTAAGGATGAGTAGAGTTTAGGAAAAAAAAAAAAAACAGGAAAGAAAAATAGAAGAGAAAAAGGAAACTCAGAGACTTTAGAAGATCATATTCAATTCTAGGGACATCAGTAAAATGAAATGGAAAAAATTTAGAAGCAATATATATTCACCTTGGGTATTTTGCACTTGAGCCTTTTTCTAAAACACTAATCTTATTTATATTAAAATGTAGGGAAAATGTTCATTTCAGAGCATGGGGGAAAAAAGAGAAAAAAGCAAATGTTATTTTAAAAAAAGATTCTCTCAAAATAAAAATAAACCAAACCATTATAAAGGACTTTATACAAAATCGCTGTATTTCCCCCATCCCATTTGCCAGAAGTCAGCAAGAGCATCTAGCACTTTGTGTTCGAGTCAAACATCAGATCAGAGCAGCCTAAGGTCACCCCCACCCCCACCCCACCATAGGACAGTAACTACAGACTTCAAATTCAAAAGAGAAAAGTAGCAATTAAAAGTGTTGGTGGTGCCCTGGCCGGGTGCCTCAGTTAGAGCATCGTCTCATGCACCGCAAGGTCTTGGGTTTGACTTCTGGTCAGGGCACATACCTAGGTTGCAAGTTTGATCCCCCATGGGGGCCCATATAGGAGGCAACAGTTTTTCTCCCTCCCTCTCAAAAAAATCAATAAAAATAAAAAGTGAGGGTAGCAAAAATCCTACAAATGGGTTTTTGGTTTTAATTTTTTTAATGTTTTTATTAACTTTTTTAGAGACAAAGGGGGAGATAGAAACTTCAGTGTGAGAAACATCGATTGGTTACCTTCCACACACCCACTACTGGGGATGGAGCTGCCAATCTGGCCACGTGCCCTGACCTGGAATCAAACCGGGACCTCTCAGTCCATGGGATGATGGTCAATCCACTGAGCCACACTGGCTGGGCCTATGAATGGGTTTTTGCTTTCTCTCCTTCTGGGGGATGGATGAAGAATGTTAATTAGCAGGTGCAATTAGGTTAACCATGTGAACCCTTCACAGTCCTGTGGGAAATGTGCCCACAGAAAGCATTCTGGAGAGGTTCTGAGCTTCCTCCAAGGTTGCCCTTATGGCTACTAGACCCATTCAATCCAGAGTGTTGTTCTAAGTGACTCTGATACTCTGGTGTCTGAAAAAATCACCCCAGAGCAACCAACTTCCACATTGTGAAGAGCAATGCTGACATTACTAGTGCACCAGCCCTTGGCTAATAAACAGACTAACAATGAAGAAATGTAATGTCAAAATTTTAACAGGCTCAATAGAGTGTAAAAACTAAAACCAGATCTGTGAATTGGCTGTCTCTACTGACATGCATTTCCAAAATTCAGAAGGAATTTAACCTACTTTGTTTTCCATCAACCACACATTTATTTAGAGCTCAATGTTTCTCCTATTATGCTGTGCAAAAAAGGGGACAAAATATAACAAAATTATATAATTCACAGAGTATGATCATCCTGATCAACACCCGAAGTGGGTCACAGGTTTCTTCTCCTGGAAGCACCCTTTCCAAGGAATCCCAACAAGGGCTCAGCACAGGAAAAACGAGAGGAGGGTTACTTGGTGGAGGAAGTTTGGGAAAAACTACATCCTATGAAACACTTCCTTAAAGGATTCAAAATGCACAACTGCACATTAGAGAACAGGACTGATCTAAAGACCCCTCAGTAACCTTGTTTATCCTAGCATTTCCAAAGTTATTTAATCAAGAAACCTGCTTCTTCCACCTAACATCAATTAGTCTCCACAGAAAAGTGGTGGACCTTACCGGTCTGGGAAACAAACACAGGGAATGCTGCTTTAAGTAACTGACTGTACGTCACCAGCATGGCCACAACCATGGAAAGGAAAAGGGTTGGCGACGGCTGAGGCACCTTGTCCCATTCATGGCCAAGCCTGATTCTTGACTAGATCAAGTACCGCCTTCCTCTCTCACCAACTCCTTCCCAGAAAGACTACTGTATCAGATACAGGGAAACACTATCAGCTGGCATTGTAGAAAATAGCAACACTCCTTGCTGGAATCTCTAAACAAATTCTAAACCCTTCTTTTAAAAAAAAATCTCTGCAGACAGACATTCCCCTATGCTAAACTAGAGATTTACATAAGAGACTCTGCTATGTTCAGAGGATAGGAGTTAAATTATAAATGGTCCTACAAAAACATCGAGATACAAAGATACCAAAAACCACACTTGGTTAGAAATAACATTTATTATCCTCTCCCCCCCAATGTACAGATTACTTTTCAAAACCATGAAGGTATTATCCATGTCCTCAATAACAGTTTGTAGAAAATAAACTTAATTTGTATCTTGTCAACTATATATTTCTATCATTTTTTTAAACGATAGCCATTTTATTTTTCCATGTTAGCGCAATAATAGCTTGCAAGTTTTGTTTCAGATCAAATCAAGATAATCTTTGTTTATAGGTCATTTCTTGACAGAGCCCTCCCCCCAACCCCTAAAAAAAAGTCTATATCCTAAGTGATAAACTCTTCTTGTACATTCAGCAAACTTTATATTGGAAAAGAAAAAGAATAACTGAGATAGGTACTTACTCTCGTGCACAGTAATAAATCTAGCTGAGCTTCTACACCTTGCCTTGCAATGATGTTTACATAAAATAAATCATATCTTATCAAGTTACAATGGTAAGTTCTTGAAATGTAGATATGAAAGTTGTACACTTAATCCTCTGAAATTCCCTTCTAATTTTCTAATCTGTAATTAAACCATCGCTGTAAGGAAAAGCTTCACTCCAATGTCATCCTTTTCCCTCAGCTATTTCTCTCCAAAAGCTCAAATCGTCTTCAAAGAGACACATTAAAAGCACAGGGGGAAAAAAAAAATTTTAGCTTGCTGACATAATGCCCTTAAGTTTGCTGACATAATGCCCATATTTTAACTTTAAAATGTAAAAATCCGAGTTAAAGCATCACTTAATTCATACAGTACAATATTAATTAATCAACAGTGTCCCACCAACTCAGAAGTTTCCTAAAACTGGTTGTCTTCTCTGCATTTAGTAAGTTTATAACCAATGACCCAATCAAAGAATGTGCTTGTAATAGGCTGCTGGTTTAATTTTAGTATTAGAAGTTTCAATGTTGGGCTATTTTCAAATATAGAAATGCTATGAGTGGCATATGAACTATTAATTTTGTTTCCCATTACCTACAGGAAGAATTCATTCAAATAAAATTTTACAAGACAAAATGCAAATCTATATACCTATACATCGATGTATACATGTACATACTGAACCTAAGGTTTTATAAGCAATACTAACATAGTTCTGGTTACACATTCCTAAAGACTTAGCAATTGTTTTAAAGATACATATTATAAAGACGCTTATGCAAAAGGCAAAAATTAAGAATCAAGATGACCTTTGAGGTTTTCAGTATTATTTCAAAAAGCTGTTTCTATTCCCCATAGAAGAAAACTATGCATTTATCTTAGGAAAAAAAATTATAAAAAGATAATGCTATCATGTAAAGAATTCACAAAAACTATACTGTATATTCCATAAAAGTCATACCTACTTAAGGTAAATCACAATTATGGTTTATATTGTATTACAGACATCACCATCACCTTTCCTCTTTAATAATGAGAGGGTTTAACTTTATTTTTAACTTACTTAACTAGTACCACAGGAATTCAAGTACCCATAGCAACAAGTTAAACAAGATTACAAAATAAGGCATTCTGCTCACATGTCATTAAAGTAACAGGCTGAGTAAAGTAGGTTCTGTTCATTTTTGCAAATTTATATAATCCAAAAATTATATAGAAGGCAATCTTTACCCCGCCAAAATAATAACTAATTGCTATTTTCTAGGGAAACAGAACATCCATTAAATCCTCAACTTTGGCTATTCCTCCTACTTCCATAAACGGAGGTTGACCTTACCTATTTAATAAAGCCCAGTATTAGAAATGTGAATGAAATGTTTTTTACTCTACCACTTCTAAACCTGTAGGTCACACATTAAATTATTTTCCAAATTATAGATTAAATCTAATTTGACAAAATCCCTGTAGTGTTATTTGAGGGAGAGGGAAAGTAGACTCAGAACATGTTTGCACATGTGCACGTGCACACGCAAACACACACACCAACATATTAAACTACTTTCTTAAACACTGACTAGTCTCCAGAATCAAAATATTTATCATCAAGCTGCAGCATGTGTATTAGGGGCAGCAATGTCACCTTTTTTAGCTCAAGGTAAGAATCTGAATAAACTTGAAAATAACTAGTACCTTGAACCAAAAGTTTTAACAAAGATGAACTCTAAACTACATATTTTTTAAAATTTGGACTCAACTGACTGTTGTACTTTTACATTGTGTTGCTTAAACAAAAATAAAGCATAAACTCAATATTCTACTGTCTAAACATTTAAAGCAATGGTTATGTCATCAACAGGTAAAATGCACCTAATTTGGGTCTTTTGTCACTTCTTGTTTTAAGTTTATTGTATGATAAAGTTCTTCACAGTTTAAAATATTGTGAAGAAATATATTTATGTATAACTATATTCACATACATATTATGTACACATACTATGTATTTGATGTACCTATAAACTTTGAATGTGTGTGTGCCAGGATGATACCCCACACATATGCAGGAACCCTGAATAGACTGGCGTGGGCTGTGAAATGATTTCTCAGAAAAGCTTACAAATCAGAAATTATTATAATGAATAATTATAACAAAAACTTTACCTTATTTACATAGTGCCTATATCCAAAGAGGTAAATATGCTTTATAGACATTTCTTTTAGTATCTCTGTGAGGTGGGGCATTGGGAACACTACCAATTCTCATTTTCCATAACCAACTAACCTGCCTGGACCATACACTTTAACAGTGGAAGAGTAAAATACAAACAAGAAAATCTCCTAATCTACAAAGTCTCCAATTACCAGATCAAATAGTCTTATACTAAAATCAAGTTTCCATCACATAACAGAACTTGTACCACAAAGGATTAATTTTTAAGTCCTCATATACTTGTGACTGTGCGTTATATTTATACCACAGGGAGATCAAAATGGTTTTTGGTTTTGGCAGATGAAAAAGTATAACATTCAGTGTAACTATAATTCAGTGTAACTTCTCCAGTTTAAGTGCGACACAGCTGATTGGTCTATCAGGGAAATGCTGTCAATGTCTAATCATGGCTGAATAAAATCTCAATCCAAACAGCTACTGCATGACTAAGAGATAGCCTACAATCTTGTATTGTCTTAAAGGTCTTTTCTATCTCCACATATGGTACAGTATACACATATAAATAAGCATTTTAGCACAAAATGTACAGTTAGCATGACTCAGTTCGTTTAAATAAGCAAAGGCCTTAGGGGTGAACTTTAAAGGCCAAGAGTTCCTCAGAGTGCATGTTGTTTAAAGATCGAAGATCTGGCAACTTTAGAAGAAGTTTTGTAAAAATAGAGGCCTCGTTTGGGTGGTTTTTCATTATTAAGGTCCTTAGTGCACGGATGAGGGTTTCCTGCAAAGCCTCCACAGAGTTGACGTTTTCTATTCCAGATCGATCTAATGGAGGGTAAGGAACAGAGAGATATGAAGGAGAGGATATATTATTAACATTAAACATAAATATAATTCTTGCTCATCAATCTCATTAATGAATTCACAACAAGGTTTTATACATTGGAACACAGGCAAAAGATAATCGACAAAGTTTTTAAAATCTCAATGGCAAAGTTTTGTAGCTATTTATTATATAAAGATATATATCACATAGTAAGTCCACTTGATAAACCAAAATTCTTTAGTGCTTAAGTGTATTTGTTCACAAAAAAACTAGAGGTTCTGATTCTTAAAATTTGATGCCATCTGCTCATTTCAACTGCTCCTAATTGACAAAGTAAAATGAATAGTGTAGTTTAGAAATATATTTTAACTTCATATGAATATATCCACATTTATATGTTACCATGTATGGCAGGAAGCCTCTAATAAAGCCTCCAATGATCCCTTCATCCTGGTATCCTTGTCCTTGAGTGTCCCTCTTCCCTTAAGTGGGCTACACTTCCTGACTCACCACTAATGAACAAAATAATAGATCACAAAAAAAACTGCAGTTTCCATGTTAGGCACTCACAAAGCCAAATGCCATGCTGTGCGCTGCCCTGCAGAGTAGCCCATGCGCTAAGGAACTGAGGGTGGTTTCCAGCCAAGAGCCAGCAAGGAACTAAGGCACTCAGTCCAACAACATGCAAGGAACCGAATCCTGCCAACAACTATGTGAATAAGCTTAGAAGCAGATCTTTCCTTGCAGAGATATAAGACCACAGCCCTGCCCAGAGCCTGATTACAACCTCCTAAGAAACCCTGAGCCAGAGGCACACATCTAAGCCACACCTATATCCCTAACCCTCAAAAACGGTAGGAAATAAATGTATACATTTTTAAGCCACTGAGTTTTAGGGTAATTTGTTATACAGTAATAGGTAGCTAACATACTATGCAACTTTAATACCTAGTTATATTAACCTGCATTCACTTGCATTTAGCATACTATGTTTATTACCCTCATCATACAAATGTTAATAAGTGGTTTAATACACTAGCAATAAAAGAAAGTATCTTGAAATTAGCCAAAACTATGTTGTTTGCCCACTGACTTTTTTCATCAGCAAGGGCTATTTCTTCCCTTTACAACAGGAGGCAGTAGTATGCAAGAAATATTCAATGGCTCCCAGTATAGGCAGTTGTCATTAATAAGAAAAAGACTTTGCCCTGGCCGGTTTGGCTCAATGGTTAAAGCGTCGGACCGCAGACCAATGAGTCAAGGGTTCAATTCCGGTCAAGGGCAGGTACCTTGGTTGCGGTTCATCCCTGGTCTTGTTCAGGGTCATGCGAGAGGCAACCAGTTGATGTGTCCCTCTCATGTCAATGTTTCTTTCTTTCTCTCTCCCTCTCTCTCCCCTCCCTTCCATTCTACCTGAAGATAAATAGAAAAATATCCTCAGGTGAGGATTAAAAAAAAAGAAAAGAATAAGACCTTTCCAAGAAAGCAAAAAGGCCATTTGTACCCTTTTTTCACTTTTTACAAGGAGACTGACGAAGTCTCTTCTATTGTAACTGGTAATTTAAAAAGGCCACTTGCAATAAAAACACTTAGAACAAGGACTAAAATTTAATAGTAAAGGAAAGGTATGACTAACTCTAAATGCAGAAAAAATGATGAAAATAGACTTATCTTACATTTAATAAATTTGGATTATTATCACAACTATGTATTAATTCTTATGGAAAAAGAAACTAATGAATGTTCACTACTGGCTTGGGGGAGTTCATATTTTTTCAGACAAAATTGTTAGATGAACAAAAGACCTCTTTTCTCCTGACATTTGATTTTGGCCATACAATCTTAAGGGTCATCTTTGCAAAATTAATTAAAGCTTTCAATAATGCTTCTAAGAGTCCCCCTACGTTTAATATTCAAGTAATTGTCTTCTTTAACATCTTGCAATTTATTAATTCATTCTCTAAACACTTATTGAATGTAGGTGGTTACTGTGATAGGTCCTAAGGAATTAGCAGTGAGCATAACCAACCAAAATTCCTACCTGTAGAGAGCTCATATTTTGGCAGAAGAAAAGTAATTGGTTTGTATTGTATCATCAGTAATTTACAATGCCAACAACTGGGAAAGAATGATAGTGAGCCCCAAAAGCAAAGTGGGGAAAGATATTTGTGTACAGTTAAGTGGTTGTCTTCCAGTAAATACTTTGGGTTTGGATGATCTATGCTTCTCTATACAATCAGAAGTTCATGGAATTGCACACCTATAACTAATAATGTAAATCATATTACATTTTTTCTAAAACCATGGTTTCATGATTTCAAGGTCAAAGAACCTAACTACAAATCTAGGTAGATCATAATACAACAATCCTCTGAAAATTGTAACAACAGAATACACAGACAAGTGGAAATTCATCTTCTAGATGATGCACTAAATGCTACACTATACATATAGTTTAACTCTGATACATCTATCTTCTACTTCCTTAGCTGGTTCTTTTTCCCTCTCCCAAGCCTGTACTCCTCACCAAATCTCCTCTTTATGTATATTCACTTACTACAGCATGGCAGTTAAATTCCTTCAACAAAAACCTGTAAGAGGCCCTGACTAGTTTGGCTCAGCTGTTGAGCATCGGCCTGCGGACCAAAGAGTTCCGGGTTCGGTTCCTACTAGGGGCACGTACCACCAAAAAAAAAAACCTGTAAGAGGACAACTAAAATCCGTACCTAGATGAGCCTTGGTCTCACACCTCCATGCCAGTTCCTAATCTTCAACTGGAAGAGACTGCTGCCATTTCACAAAATCTGAAAAATAGCCCTGGCCAGTTTGGCTCAGCGGTTAGAGCGTCGGTCTGCGGTCCGGAGAGACCCGGGTTCGGTTCCCGCTAAGGGCACGTACTTCGGTTGCAGTTTGTCCCCGGCCCTGGTTGGTCGTGCGGGTGGCAGCCACTCGATGTGTCCCTTCACGCTGATGTTTCTCTCTCTCTCTCTCCCTCCCACTCTATCTGTACAAAAAATGGAAAAATATCCTCAGGTGAGGATAAAAAAAAAAAAAAAAAAAATCTGAAAAATAATGTACCTCATACACCCAGGTATACTTCCCCTACTCTCCACAGTATCTAGATTTTTCCAGTCTCACAGGAAAATATGCTTGTGATTTCTCTCTCCCTCAGCAGCTAAAACTATTCTGTTAAGAGGCAGTATAATGGAAAGGCCAAAGCCTAACTAACTAGCTAGACTAACAGGGGTTCAAATGCTTGCTCAGCCAATTATTTAAAATGTGACATTAGATAAGTTACTGAACCCCTGTTCCTCAAATTCCTTGCCTGTATAACTGAAGACAACATGTCCTAGCACACACCAGAGATCTTTTGTGAAAATAAAATTATATAATGCAATCTATAAAGTATCTAACATTTCTTCTGACTACAACCAAAGCAAAACCCAGAAAGAAACTGTAGATTCCAAGAAACACAAAAAGCGATTTTAAATATAAAGCAAACTACAATGCTGATTAATTCTAAGCAATTGAGAACATACATGAATAATCTATTTGTTACCAGACATTTGGAACAGTCCCCCTTCAGGAGGTGGTTTATGGCAAAGATTTATATTGCCTTGTCTACTATTTCAACCATACTGTGAACACTATGAGCATTATTTACATAATCATACTCCTGTAAATGCTGATTTTTTACTTTTCAATTTTCAGAAAATGATAAAGCATGAAAATAATCACAGCCATAAAACAGAATGTAAGTGTTTTGATTCTTGACAATATAGAAAACATCATATAGCAAAAGAAGCCCTTGACAATATAGAAAACATCATATAGCAAAAGAAGCCAGGATATGGAGAAAGGAGGATAATGCCTCCCTAAATAATGAGAAGATTCAATTCTAAACTATCTCAGAAACTATCTCAAAGTAAAGGATCAAAGTCTGAGCATGTTGAAATTATAAATAACACCAATACAGTAACTGAAAAAATAAAACTTGTAAAAACTGAGAGGAAAAAGTGAGAGGGTACTTTTATTCATCAGTTATGGCTACTAAATAAAAGGGGGTATAGGCATAGTATTTAGCACTCAAACAGTAACTGACCCCACGCTAGACTCACATGGTACAATCCCTGCCTTGCATAGTTGGGTGGGCAACCATCAGAGCAATCAAAATGGAAGATGGTTAGAAATACAGTTTGAAGAATAGGCTGGGAGTAGCAGAAGGAAGGAGAGAATTTTCATCCAATACTCTGCTATAGTTCTTGAATTTTATTTTCCTGCCTAGATAATGCTTTAAAAATAAATTAACAATCCTTTTTAGATGGTAAAGATTTAAATTTGACATGGACACTATCATATATAAAAGTCAAAACATTTTAAAATGCAAGGAATTGTGCATGTATATGTTTCTTGTATATCTTCATAAATAAACTTAACAAAAAATAAGAATGCATATATTCTTTTATAAAGTTTTCTTTCTACTTAATATGTCAAACATTTTTTGCATACCATATATATCAGTGAGCAGCAAATGGATAAATGGATGGACAAGAGAAAGGATAGCATGAGACTCCTAATGTTATCTTTTTTGGTAGTATTATCACCCTTATTTTCATCTTAATATTTTCAATTTTTCAAAGAACCCCTATTAGTCTTACGGTCAGGAAACAAAACAAGGCTTTTTTACAAGGAAATTAAAACAAAATAAAAATAATTCTCCTGCGCTGGCCAGTTTGTTTCAGTGGTTAGAGCATCGGCCCATGGACCAGAGTCTTGGGTTCCATTCCAGTCAAGGGCATGTACCTCGGTTGCGGTTCAGTCCCCGGCCCTGATTGTAGTCATGCAGGAGGCAACCAGTCAATGTGTCTCTCTCACATCAGTATTTCTCTCTCTCTCCCTCCCACCCTTCCTCCCACTATATCTGAAGATAAATGAAAAAATATCCTCAGGTGGGGATTTAAAAAAAAAAATGCTCCTGATGGAAAATACAAATGAAGACAGCAACACAGTTCTTAGCATAGAGCTCTGCTTCACCCTCTGCCTTCATCTATTCCTCTGAAGTAGCTCTAGGCACAGTCTTCCTGCTCCACCTTCTCTGCCACAGCCTATTTTAGAAGTGCTCATTCCACTGCTTCATACCTAAATTATTTCAACAGCCTTTCAACCTGACTCTCCAGCTCTAATGACTCCCTGTCTAATCCAACCAGGATAACAATGCAAAAGTAATGTTAAAGTATCACTTTGTTCATGCCTGATCATTCCTCTACTTGAAGTTATACTGACTTTCTGCTGTGCCATTTAGTTAAAACTTCTCTGGATGACATTCCGTAACCTGGTCCTCCCATAACATATAAGCCTTCTGTACCCCTTCTCCTTGATGTACACATCAGCTTGGCCCCTACCCTACACCATTCTATCATTTTTTGCTGGGAAAAATGTAATAATCCATCCTTCAAATTCCAGCTCCACTTACATTTTCCCCATAAAGACTTCTCAGATGACTTCATCTTCCTTCCTATGACTATTTACCTCAGTCAGAACCACAAAGTTTTGTACATAAAGCTTTTTGTTAATTCTGTTTCTCCAAATAGAGTATAAATACTTTGAGAGCAAATCTGTGTCTTAATGTTTGTTTTGTCTGTCTTCCCCTGAGCATCTAGCACATAAGGCATATTCATCAGATAAGGAAATTAGCAAGTATGCATTACCTGTAGTTCCACAATAATAGATATATTAATCTTATGTCCATTCAAACAATTATTAATTACTTATCAAGAGACCACAAAAAGGTAATGTACAAGAGGCATTACAAGGTTACTGAGAGAACAGGTATCCCTTCCTGACACAGTATTTCCATTCCTTTCATACTATTTCCATATCAGAAGTACATTTTTAGCTACCCAGGTAGAGCTGATAAGAAAAGGTAGCCAAATTACACTTTCAAATGGCCTAAGTCTTTATTTATACCACTGATGTACAGGTCCCTTTACAATATTCAAAGACCTTACTCTCCTTAAGAGTTACTGATTTATAGTTCAGCCAAATAACCAGGGCCATAATGTATGCTGTCACAGTGTCTAGCGCATTTACACAGTTGGAAGCAAATGGGAAGCTTTAAGTATGTCATATACTATAAAATTCTCAATAAATGTTTTAAAATAAAGTTAGTGATACCTAAAAGTAGCTGGCACTTACTTACATGTCCCCAGGAAAGTACTGTCTCTATCTCTAATTTGCTATTGGGAATAATCTCTGCCTAAATATCTATTGTCTAAATTGAAATACTTTGGTTAGAAATAACTGCAATATCAATGCAAGGCAAGGAAATTGAGAAACATCATCAATGACGTTCATAAACAAACATTAAACGCTAAGTCTCAAAATCTCAGTCACTCATTCAAACAGTAACTGACCCCCATGGTAGGCTCACATGGTACAATCCCTGCCTTGCACAGGATGAGAAAACCAAGACTCAAAAGGACAAAATTACTTACATCCAAGTCACACATAACATTCAGTGACAAAGCTGGGTGAGAGCCTACAACTAAAAATTTTACAACGGTTTTAACAAACCACACTAATACAACTCGATACTTCCAACAAGTAATGTACATATTATTGTAATTAAAACTTAGAATCAGGCCCTGGCTCAGCAGTTAGAGCATTGGCCCGCGGACCAGAGAGTCCCGGGTTCGGTTCCTGCTATGGGCATGTACCTCGGTTGCAGTTTGTCCCCAGCCCGTTGGGGTCATGTGGGTGGCAACCACTCGATGTGTCTCTCTCACATTGATGTTTCTCTCTCTCTCTTCCTCCCTGTCTCCCTCCCTCTCTATCTGAAGATAAATGGAAAAAAAAAAAACTTAGATTAGAATCATATACCTGGAGAAACACAATGTTCCAAAAATGAAATAATGATTTAAATTTGTAAAAAATCGCCCTGGCCAGTTTGGCTCAGCGGTTAGAGCGTGGGCCTGTGGTCCAGAGAGACCCGGGTTCAGTTCCCACTAAGGGCACATACCTCGGTTGAAGTTTGTCCCTGGCCCTGGTTGGGTCATGTGGGTGGCAACCACTCGATGTGTCCCTTTCACGTCGATGTTTCTCTCTCTCTCTCTCTTTCTCTCTCTCTCCCTCCTGCTTTATCTGAACAAAATATCAAGAAATTTCCTCAGGTGAGGATAAAAAAATAAATAAATTGGTAAAAAAAATCATTAACAAGAGCTAGACTAAGAGTGGTAAATATGAGGCCCAGCTCTAAACATCATTTTATTGCCACATAGCACTTTTAACTTTTACTACCATGATTTAAATTTTTTAATTATACAAAAATAACGAATTGACATAGCTTAACATCTTCCTTAAGGCACCCTTCCTTCCACAGAGCTTGCTGGAACCTCATTAACCACCACCTTCTCCCCAGGTGGTCATTATATTCTAGGTGTGGCACAGTTTTGAACCAGCTTGCTTACCTGCAGATACCAGGACAACTGCTGTAAACAAACTCATCTCTTCATCACTAAGCTGGAGGGCATTCAGCTTCTCACTAAACTCAAACATAGAGTTTAGCAGATCCCCAGCCCCCATTGAGTGTAAGTCATCCACACTATACTTCTTTCCACTTAAAAAGGTGACAGTACGCTCCTTTGCATCAAATAACGAAGCAAACCGTACCATTAAAACCTGGATAAAGAAAAAGACTTAAATTGTATTTGGAGAAATTCAGTAGCAGTGCTAAGAAATACCTCAGTATTCAAGTCAGTTAAACATTCTACATATAAAACTGTAAAGGAAACACTGAGTTTATTTTTACCCAGAATCATTTCCTTCAGGCAAATTCACTACCAAAGCAATAAATATTCCAAGAAGATCAAAATAAATTCTAACCACCGGTGGCAAAATAGTTAAGCCCTGAAACTCTATCAATAAAGATTCTGAAATGCAAATACAAAATTAAAGCGGACGATGATGGCCAAGAAATCTGAAACTGGGCCTTGGCCAAAGGCACTGAATAAACTCTCTAACTATATTTCAATGCAGTAACACTTGGAAACATCAAAACACCAAATGCAGCCAAGGCAAATGCAGCAGATGAACTCTAATTAGACCATTTCAAGAAATCAATAACCCAAAGAGACAACACAAAGAAAACCATTACAATAAAAATGTTCTAGACACCAAGTTATAATCAAAATTCGAACCAAACCACTCAACAATTGTTTACCTACAGCACTCTCTCCACTATACTAAATGGTGATATGTCACATATTTCTCTCATAATCAGCAGAACGCTGAACAATACCTTCTCTTTGCAATGCTAAGTAAAGACTTGTTTAACCCAAGATAATCCAAAAGAGGGCAAGAGCCTTCTATGAAGATGGTGCTACCCAGAACACAGCAATCCCAAGACAAATCACAAGGCTGAAAGAACGCAAGTCATGGAGTCGGGTTTGTGTTCTATCCCTGTGTCATGAATTTACTGGTAATCCAAGAAAAGTCTCTGAGGTTAAAAGGTTAAGTTACCTCTCAGCCGTAGTTACTTAACCCCAAAAATGGGTGAAATGAACTTGATCACTGACACACCTTCTGGCTTTAAATCTTAAGTGTAATGTTTTCCTTTACACTGAAAATCCTAACCTGTAGGTGTTACTTTTGAATTACACCATGAATATTTCATGAATATGGCTTCTCTGTTCTAGTCCACAGATGCCCCAGAAAACAGAGCCTAAGGCAAAAGTTTATGTGGGGTGTGCACTGGCAAATGTGAAAACAAGAGTGAGGAAAATGGAAATGGGACAGGGAAGCAGAGAGCCAATATTAGCCTATTTACTGAGCTGGCCACCCACCACTTATCAAGAACTGAGAGCTCAATCTTGTGGGACCATTAGAGAGAAATGGCTCTCTACCCTCACTGATCCAAGATTTCGCCCACCAGACATCAACTTCCCACCTACTGGCCTGCATTTCAAAATAATGAGTAAGTGAGCTTCAAGCAAGTCCTGAGACTTCTCTTAACTAGCGGCAACAGGAAAGCCCTGGGGCAGAGAGGTGAGAAGCACCTAGGCACCTAACTAAACAAGGAAAGGCACCATCTGTGTCCTACTGAAGTTGGCAACAGTGGTTGCCCCAAGCCCAGGCAAAAGGCATCAGAGCAAAAGAAGCTGGAGTAGAAAAAGTAGCTGTAGATTCTGGAGTGAGGGAAGGCCAAGAAACTCTGAGCTGGCACAGAAGAGATGTCTGATACATTTGCCAAATACAGGGTGGGGCAAAAGTAGGTTTATAGTTGTTCACATGGAAAACAATACAATAATTAATAATAATAATACTCTGTTTTGTGTACTCACAACTGTAAAACTACTTTTGCCCCACCCTATATTCTACAAGCTCCTAAAAGACAAAATCGCATGCTATTTACCCTTCACATTCTGTACTGAACATAGTCAACTCCAGACGAGGCTTTCAGTAGGTATCCACCACTCTGCAGGACCCACCAAGTCCACATCTACAAGCAATACTACAACCTGGAGTTCATATGCTGGGACTACAGTGCACTTATACTTCAAGTCCTAAGTAACTGCATTTACCTAGTCTCTTTCCCAAGATCCTGAGATGGTCTTTCTTTTGTTGGTAGTTTTCAGCCTCTGGACTTCAAATACTCATTTAGAAAAGAAGTAAAATGTGCATGAAAAGAAAAACACTACATGCCCTGTATCCATACTCAAGATCAACAAAACTTACCTCAAAAGTCCCAGCCTTTAAAAGGTTGACCTGGTCATGCTGAGAGAGATCTCTGAATCCGGGAATACGCTTTGCAAATTCCACCACTTCTTTCACTGCTGGAGTGAAGCTCATTGAAAACTCTTCCCAGACCTCATGCCCTGATTTATGAGGATCCACATATGGAGACTTACTCATTGGACAAACCTAGCATGCACAAAACAGAAAAACTCTTAAATTGTGAGAGATGGCAAAGAAATTTCAGAAGTGGCATCTTAATTACTGAAACACCAACATGAAAATAACCCTCAGATACTACTAACAATAGCACTTTCTCTTTCGCTACTCTACCTTACGACAGAAAGCCTCACAGCAACCTAATTTAAATAGCAACTGACTTGTTACCCAGAAAGCAGCAGCAGCCTAAGCAAAAATTAGATCCATCACAATCTATTTCAAAAACCCATTGCACAGGCTGAACAGTTTATTTTGTAACATGTTGTCACCTTATGCTGGCTTTATGGTTTTAAAAAATAAAGTTCACATATATTTACTTGATTCTCAATCCTATTAGTTAGTTATGGCAGATATTACGATGACCATTTCTTAGATGAAAAAATGAGACTCTAAGATGTGTAGTGACATCCAAATACAGCAAGAAGTCATAGGCCTAGAATCCAAGCCCACAGTTAGTAAATATTTCAAAACTCACTTTTTTCTAAATGGGCACAATTACAGTGTTGTAATTTCAAAGAGGAAAAGATAGATGCCTCCCTTTTTAAAAAAGGCCACACTAACCATTTATTTTCTAAACAATGGTGTGAGCCCTCACCTCCACTTAGTCAATTAGGAAACAATGACTGGAGATACAAGGTACAACTTCTACAAGAGGATTGGGGAGGGAAAAAAGGAAAGTAAAAAAGGCATAAAAACATTTAAAAGATTAGGAAGCCTGTACTATAAACTCTATCAGTAAAATCAGCCTTTAAATTTCACTGAATCCATGAGACCCAGGAGTGAAATGATTCTGTGATCATAATCTGTTCCCTTCTTAAGGCAGCCACTAAGCCTAATAAAATATAAGGTCACTGTTCAGATCCATGGGATCAAATACTTGCAAGTGGCCAAAAAATCTAATATAAGGATTGAGGTACAGTCGACTATTTTGAAAATATAAAAAGAAGGCTTTATTACCTGGCTGTGGAAAACAACAAGCACTATCAAAGGACCTCGTGATTTAAACTGGAAATGGTGCAGTACTGATGCTTTTGATGAAATTTTGGCTGAATATAAACACTGTGCTTTCATGTAGACTGTTGTATTTGATGAAAAAAACTTAAATGATATGAATAACATTAACTCATCTCATAGGATAAAGTCTGAGAAAATCCTTAGAAGGTAGCCTATTAAATTAAAATATTCCTAAATTCTCACACAATAAAACATCCATGTTCTATATCCAAAGACCTTTCTGCATTAATAACAGTTAAAGAAAACTCTATAGAAATAAACGGATTACTGACTGTGGCAAGCTAAAAGATCAGCCGCTAGAGAAAATCCCAAAGTTAGTAACGTAGTGATTAATCAGAATGCTCAAATTTTGAAAGGCATTTCTAAGAATTAAAAAACCAACTATGCATTATCCATATTTTATATAAAATCCTAATCTCAAGCATAGTATCATCAATCAAATCACATGCTTGTACCTAACTGTGTAAAATTAGGTCATTCAAAAAATGATATTTATTAAAAGTATTTGACCTAAAATAGTGTACAAAACTGATTCTGTAAATTTCATGATTTCTTACAACCCTTCTCCCACCCTTGAAGTTGGTATATCCCCCACATAAAAGAAAAGTTTTCCATGATACGAGGTTAGCAAAAAAAAATTGATTTCACTATACCAGATGCATTCTCCCTCCATTGTTGCACAGGTAACTATTCTTGTTCTCATTCTGAGAAAATCCATCTATCGAAACTCTATCACATACTCTTTGAGTATAAGCATTGGAGAAGTTCATACAATGTCCATTTGTAATACAAATGGCATGCCCATTTGGGTAATGCATTATGTTCCTCCCCTTATACTGTCCATTGAGATTCTGCTGGCTTTCACTACAAGGAAAATGGCTACTAAGCCCATTGCCACAATGGTCATGATTTAAATTATATTGCTCCATGTTCTTGGGAATCCGTTCTCTCTGGGGCTGCATGGTCTCTGCTGAGTTTTCTCGCTGCTCTTGATTATACATAAAGGTATCCTTGTGGGCTCTGGTCACCATGCCAATCACTTCTTCCTTTGCAAAATCAGAAGAGGGAGAAGAAGAGCTTTTGATGTGTTCTTGCTCCAGCTGGGGCTTGGGTCGAAGATGTTCCTGGGCTGGTAAGGCTGTCTGTTCATGTTCTACTAATGTGTCATTCTGCAAATGACCACTGAACTGGCTGTTCATCATGGTCTTCATTGCACTCTGCATTTCAATTAGCATCCTCTGTTTTTCACGCTTAGGAATTCGACCAAACCGAACAGCTATTGAAGAAAAAGATATTTAACATTTATATTCTAAATAATACCTGCTTATACAAAAATAAAAAAACACAAAATTATCTTTGATAGCTATGGCCTCTAGCCATACAAGTAAAGAGTATCTACATGTCTCTCTGGTACAAATTATTCTAACTTACTGGTTGTTTTTTATGTACCATAAGAGGTGGGGGGGGGGGGATTTTCCATTGTTCTCCCAAAACAGAGCTAAGGAGAAGTTCTATTTCTTGGGTATTTTGTAAGCAAAATCTAAGGAAGAAATGTGAAATTAACTAATGTAAATCAGAGCCTGACGCAGACCAGCATATCCACACAGTACCTTATTAACAAGGCTGAAGGGCTCTGTTCTTAAGAAGGCACATGGGATTCAGCTCTACATCCATTAACACTAATGGAACCTAGTAGGCACAATCACTCCCTGAACATCTGACCTTTGTCAATTCATTTTCATAACATTATTCTCAAGACCCAACAGGACCCAATGTTAAATGACCTGCTCTTTCCTTTACTGGCTTCTTTAAGAAGAAAATCTTAAACAACAAATATATATATATGGTCAATAGAAATGCAGTTATTGAAAAATGTACTTGCTGGATTTTAATTAAAATCAATGAAATAAAGAAAAATGAAATCATTCATCCTCATTATTTTAGAGGTTAGTCTTAGAATGTGTCTGTGTCCAACATTCCTATCCCAGAGGGATGGGGGAAAAAAGCTTCTTTCTAGTTTTTCATATCAAGATAATAAAAATTCAATATACCACCCATCAAGAAAGCCTTACTAATCTAAGTGTATCGCTGGCATTATCAGACAAACTATTTCATCGCGTTTCACACTCTATGCTTCTACTCCCTCTCCTTCACAAATAATTGCCATTTTTATTCTTTTGAGGCAATCACAATACCCATTAACTTTGTATTACTATTTCTAGTGCTACAAAAAATGTTCAGGCAATTAAACAATCTCAAACATCAACGCTTGAAATCTATTATTCAAGAAGTTCCTTTCTGCAACACTCTATTTCTGTGTCAGTAAGATATTAGAGTAACGTAAGGGACTCCTTAAGTGACCCTCCCCTAGATAAAATATGAGGTTCATTCTCAGCAATTCTTAATTAACCCTACTAAACTAATCCCTCTGAAAACCTCTTACTCCTCTGTTATGTTACATAGAACAGAATGAGACAATTCACAAATCATTTCCCTAAGCACAACAGAAGAGTCAAATCTTCCAGTGATGTCATCCACAGATAATTCTAACAAATTACAACTTCTATTTTCCATAGCTCAATTTCACACCAGAATTGAATAACCTCCTCCACTCCAGACTCTTACGTTTGTTTCAACTTTGCATCTCCTTTCAGTGTATTCAGAATCTGTACTCTAAAAGCACATTATCATCGCAGGGCTGAGAAAGTGATGGAGATAATTCACATTAAGAGAAATTGACTCATCAGCAATACTAAGAAATTATAAAGAAAGAGCCACGAATTCCTACATCAAGAAAAACTAAACCTTTTTTGTGGGAAAGGCAGTATTCAAATTGTACAGAGGGCCCTGGCCAGTTTGGCTCAGCGGTTAGAGAATTGGCCTGCGGTCCAGAGAAACCTGGGTTTGGTTCCCGCTAAGGGCATGTACTTTGGCTGCAGTTTGTCCCCGGCCCTGGTTGGTTTGTGCGGGTGGCAGCCACTCGATGTGTCCCTTTCACGTCGATATTTCTCTCTGTCTCTCTCCCCCTCCCACTCTATCTGAACAAAAAATGTCCTCGGGTGAGGATAAAAAAAAAAAAATCAATTTGTACAGAGGGAAAAAAATGGGTCTTTTTACAAGAACCAACAACAAAAAGTGAGCCAAAAGCTGTTGTTCCTGGGGTGTTGATACTAAAATTTGACTTTAATAAATTTGGCATCCTACAAGATGTTAAAATGTGTTTTCTAAAATCTGCTGCATCCTAAGCACGAGAGGGCCATTGGTAACTGGTTTATAGCCCTGGGCTCGTCTATGCTGAAGAAGAAAAGCCAAGCTCCACATGCTTTAAGAAAGAACATTCTTGCCCTGGCCAGTTTGGCTCAGCGGTTAGAGCGTCGGCCTGTGGTCCAGAGAGGCCTGGGTTCGGTTCCCGATAAGGGCATGTACCTCGGTTGCAGTTTGTCCCTGGCCCTGGTTGGTCGTGCGGGTGGCAGCCACTCGATGTATCTCTTTCACATCGATGTTTCTCTCTCTCTCTTCCTCTTCCTCCCACTCTATCTGAACAAAAAATGGAAAAATGTCCTCAGGTGAGGATAAAAAAAAGAAGGAAAAAAAAAAAAAAAGAACGTTCTTTAAACTGGGAACATACCATCTCTTGACATTCCAACAGACAGACACTTTTTGAAGCGACATTGCTGACATCTGTTCCTATTCATTCTCATTATAGAACAGTTTTCATTCTTCAGGCACTTTTTGTACTGGATGTTTTGCTGAATGCTTCTCCGAAAGAAACCCTGAGAACAAAGATGATGCACCCATTCATTTAAAAACATCCAGATGAACTTCTTATAAGCAGCCACCCCAACTCCTAACTATCAACATTACCAGCTACACCTGAGAAATAATGTTGGCTTAGAACTGAGGGAAATAAAATCCTTTTTTTTAATATATTTTATTTTCAATTTTTATTAATTTAGTTTTACTGCAGATGTTTCTCCTTTTTCCCCCATTGACACCTTCCTCCTAATCCTCCCCCACCCCAGGATTGTTGTCTATGTCCACTGGTTACGCATACATGCAAGTTCTGTGGTTTATCTCTCCCCTCCCCCGCTTCTGAGGTTTGTCAGTCTGTACTCTACTTCTATGTCTCTGGGTCTATTTTGTTCGGAAAATAAAATCTTGACACGTGGAATTTAACTGGATTCTTACCAGTATCAGTAAGCACCTGTAACTACTAGCCAAACAAGACCCTTCCCTTTCTTCTTTTTGCAGAATCTTGCTGCTTTCCAAGCACCCCGTTACCAGCCCCTGCCTGCAGCCACAATTCCCAACTCATACTTTAATAACATACAAATTCCCAAGTTCTTGAAATATGACTTATTTTTAAAGAGGTGACAGAAAAATATATTCTATAGCTATAATCCCTTCACTGGTACTAAGGATTATGTTAGTAGAGCTTGGTCGTTCCTTGATCATTACCTGCTGACACCAGCAAGGCCTACTTATATGTGCCAGATGTTCCTGGCTGCTTTTCAGCAACAGGTGACTGTCACACCACACACCCACACACCCCTAGTGATCTAGGGAAAGACAGTTCCCAGCTAGATGGCTACAGATAACTGCCTTCACTGAACAATTTAAGTGCATGTGCTGTGATAGGTATTCAAAGAGCCCCAGCTTAATAGTTCCAAGGAGAATGGAAAAGTCAAGAACACAATTACCAAAAGTATCTTAAACTTCAGTTTCCTTGAATATCATAAGTAATCACGCATTTCATGAATCTATATTAGTAACTGCAGGACACAACATTTTTACACTTTATTACTGAAATACTATAGTTGGACACTATAACATCTGAGCTAGAGACACCATTAAGAGGATATAGAACAATTATGTGTATTTATCAAGAATACACAATTAGGTTCATTGGCTTGTGTTTCTCTAGCTATAAAATTAGAATTATGCCAACCCCATAATTACGTCACAATTTCAAGGGAAAATAAAAAATGGTGGTTAAAAAAATTTTAGAATGGAAAAGTGCCACATTCATAGAAAATACTGACCAGTTTAAGAGACTTGGCCATTAAGAAATACCAAATTCACAATTCATTCAGAGCCACCCTTTCAGAAAATATCTCTTCTCTCATGTATATTCACTATCTTGCTCACCCACCATATCCTGCCAAACTGGATTCCTGCTTCTGGCCTTCTTCCAGAGAACAAATGGCAGGAGCACCTGCCTTGACCACGTTAATTCTGATACTCAGGAGAAAGGACTGTGCCAGATTTAAAAACGGAGAGAGAGAGATTCCCTGGATTTAAGTAGGTAGTAGAGACTATCTCCCTTGGAATTATCTGACAGACACTCTAAGAACGAGTCAACTAAACTTACAAATATAAGGAGCTTTCCCAAGCACTCGATTTATTTCCAAGTTTCTTTTACTTACTTGGCATTACTTCCAAAGATACATTTTTATAAGTATCTAAGAATTATTCTCAACTCCTAGTACCTGACATGTCAGAATGACAACGTATCTGATAAGACCCATTCAAAGTTTAGTTGAACCAAATTATAACAAGGCAGGAGTGCCTTGTTTGTTTTGCTCCCTGCTGTTTCCCCACCACCTACAATAGCACCTGACACATTAATGAATAAGCATCTGTGCACTTGGTTTCATACCATAATTAAATTTGAATGAGATAGCAAATTTATTTTGATCAAAATCTTTAAAAATATACTTCCACTGAATTAAAAATTTTTCAAAACAAGTTATGTTTATATACTACATAAAATGCTTAAGACTTAAAATAGGACCAGCTGACTTCTCTCCTCCTCCCACATTATCAGCTGTGGAAAAAGGCAAACCTAACTCCAATTTCTTTAATTCCAGAATCAGTAACTTAAAGAAAGAAAAAGCAGGCTTTACCTTGCAGCCTTCACAAGCATGAACTCCATAGTGGAACCCTGACGCCACATCCCCACAGACTTTACACAGTAGAACCATGCCACTAAATTCTAAGGCACAAACAGAAACAAAAGTGAAGACAGAAAATTTTCAACTATGTTTTCTTTCCAACTGAATATTTTATTTTGTTAAACTTTTAAGTACTTTAAATAGATACAAATATACTTTTATCACGTAAAAAATTATTATTTACACCAAATTAACCAGTCAGAAGACATCATGGTTTTCTTTTCAACTCAGTTTATGGGCCCCAGCCGGGTCTGGCTCAGCGGTTAGAGCATCGACCCCTGCCCCCCACCGGAGAGACCAGGGTTCGGTTCCCGCTAAGGGTACATGCCTCGATTGTGGTTTGTCTCCAGCCCCGGTTGGGGTCGTGTGGGTGGCAATCAGTTGATGTGTCTTTCTCACATTGATGTTTCTCTTTCTCTCTTCTTCCCTCTCTCCCTCCCACTCTATCTGAAGATAAATGCAAAAATGTCCTCGGGTGAAAATAAAAACAAACAAAAAACAAATTAAATAAATAAATAAACTCAGTTTATGAGACTGCCAAAAATATTTCAGAAGGCTGGTTTTGCCCTTTCCTGACGATTTTAAACATACTCTGAAATTTTGTAAATCTAGAGTTACTTTACACCAGACAACCAGAACTAAGGAAACAATCCTCCTAGATAAGAATGAAGATGTCAAGCAGAGAAGTCAATAAATAAAAGGTGCAAAGGATGTCTCCACAGGCTGCTGTCCAGACACTCAGTTCCATTAACCTTCAGGCACCAGACAGGTCCTATTCCTTTCCTTCCTGATCTTCCCCAATACCAGCCCATCTTATCTCCACACTCACTCAGGAGTCTGAATTCCACTACTCATTTGGTTATTCCAAATCCTGCTTTATTTTCCAAATCCCAATATTCCTAGCTCCAATTTCATGAAAGCAAACCCCTTCCCACAACGAGTACTCTGTTCTGGAAATCAGATTCAGTACTAGGAGTCCAGAAGAAAGGTAACTGTGAAAATGTGGCAAAAGGGGTAATTCTAAAGGATACGTGGAAAGGCACAGTACATAACCACATATCTCACGCCATGGCAAAGATCAGTTATGACAACTCCTAGAGGCTTAACTTTTAAAACCATCACTGATTTCTTACCTAAATACTGAACTATGATGACTCAGAAAGAAGTGAAAATTATATCCCAAAATATAATGGTTCCTTCAAATAAAAAGTTGATAAAGCAAACCCCACCTGCCATTAATGGTACCAACCTTTAGAAAACTAAAGTAACTTACTTGTCACTCCACTATGACTCTTTGTCATCCCAGGTGCACATGACTTGCTTGTTTTCATAGAACAATCTATTCGATCATTCTTCAGAATACCTTCAATACTGGAGAGATCACCACTTTTGGGATTACCATTGTTATCAGAATTAGAGCTATTTGGAGAAGATGGAACAGAAGAGGAGGAGGACTGGAAACTATTGTCAGAACCCTCACTGTGGCAAGATGCAGGGCTAGAGGCTGAGCTGGAAGAACTGATATACGCAATCACACCTCCTAGAAAAGAGAAGTCAGATAATTAGATATATGATAATATGTACTTTCTATTTTTGCACATCTGAACAGTAAAGTCACTAACTTTAGAAATTGGTTACCGAGCCCTGGCCAGTTTTGTTCAGCGGTTAGAGGATCAGCCTGAGGACCAAATGGTCTTGGGTTCAATTCTCAGTCAAGAGCACGTACCTGGGTTGCAGGTTCGATCCCCAGCCCTGGTCAGGGTCATGTGTAAAGCAACCAATCGATGTGTCACATCGATGTTTCTCTTCACCCCTCCCCCATCCCTCTCTCTCTTTCTTCCTCCCACTCTATCTAAAAATCAGTGGAAATACATCCTCGGGTGAGGATTAACAACAACAATAAAGAAACTGGTTGCCGACTAAATGTCAGCTTACCCTGACATTACAGTTAGCAAGGAAAAATAACTTACTTCCTTATTTCCTACTATAATTCCTGCTTCCACAAAGTTCAAAGCCCATATAATATCCACTGACTTAAGAAGTGAGGAGGTTCTCACAAGGGTTTATTCTGAGCACATGCAGATCCACGGTTTTTCATTTTCCAATCTTTTCCTAAAATGAGTGAAAAACCTTCCTGGGTGACTCCACAGCTTAAACAGTCTTGACTGTGGGAAAAAACCTGGTTCTGGTTCTCTGTCTCCTTTATTATACCTTTATATGATACAATTCTAGAAACAATGAGTTGATCATTTGCCTCCTCCCATCACTTGGCTTAAACACAGGTTAATCAAGAACAGATGTAACATTTGGAACTCTGGATAAAGTAATTTATCTCAAAATGGAGAACCTCTCATTACTGCTGCTCTCAGAATCTGTTTTGATGATGCTTCCAGAAGACTTCTATGACTATCACTAAACCCCAGTTCCACTCTCCCTTCTCCACCTACCTCTGACTCGCAGACACACTTACCTTTAAGCAGTTCTTAAGGAATTCAGACTCACTACCTGTTCTAAGTAAATGTTAAAGAGACTAGAAAGAAGAACGCAGGCTATCAGAGAATTTAGCATTAAGGCTGAATTTAATGCCCTCTTCACAGAGCTACTCTCAAAACACTATTCACAACTTCATCAAATATAACTTCCACAACCCCTCTGAAAACTGATCTTGATGTCTTAGAGACCATAAACCCCCCAGGTTAAGAAATAGCATTTAAAGTTATTCTTAGGGTATAATTAAAAACTTATTCATTCAGAGATAAAATGTTGCATGAGTAATCTCCTAGTCAGATATATTATTTTTCCAAATCCCAGGCCAAACAAGTAATTCTCATCTTCTCTGGCAAGGTCTACTGTGGTTTCTTTTCCTCTTCCCTCCATCACTAATGAACATTTATTGGCTTTTTCAATGTGCATCAGATGCAAAGTTATCTCTCTTCCATCTCTGTCCTGAGCTCTTATTTAAACCTACTGTTTATCTGTTTCCATCTGTTTCTCAACTAGACCATAAGCACCTAGCTGTGCAGAGAGTGTCTCTTAATTCTCTATACATGCTTTAGGTAATAAGCCTGCCATAAGTATTTTTAAGACCTACTTCTCTGCATTTGTGAAGCCCATGTCTAATCACATGAACAGATTCCCAAAGAGTATAAAACATTACTAGGAAGTTGCCAGTAAAACAGGGCATTTCTGACAACAATCTAGATGACTATACCAAGTAGTGAGAGGAGAATTGTGCACATTCTCAAAGTAATAACTGCAAATTAAGCATTTACTCTTAAATAAAACTTTCTCTGTTAAAGGGAAATGACTCCTCAATCTTTTTTAGATAAAAGACACACTTTGTAAGTCACTTAAAACACAAACTCGGGCTTTAATTTTTTTAACTGTTTAGAGAGAGAGGAAGGGAGAGGTGAGGAGAGAGAGAAACATCAATGAGAGAGAACATTGCTGCCTCCCGCATTCCCCCAACTGGAGACTGGGCCCACAACCTGGGCATGCGCCCTGACCAGGAATCAAACTGACGACCTCTTGGTGCATAGGTCGATACTCAACCACTGAGTCACACCAGCCGAGTTAGTGTGCAGTTTTTAAGGCTGATGTTTTCATCAACATAACTGCCTGACTACCCTTAATACACTACAAATCCAAAGAGTAGCAATTTTAACCTGGAAGCCTATCAAATGTCTTATTCCCAGGTAAAAACCACATGCCACTTGTTTCTATAAAACTAGAGATCTGAAGTTCACACTAGAAATTCCAGGAGTTAGCAAACTGCGCTTTTTTCACATGTCTCCACTCAGATAGGATATAAAGAAAAATACTGTCCTGCTGGTGTGGCTCAGTGGTTGAGCATCAACTCCTGCACCAAGAGGTCAGGGGTTCAATTCCTAGTCAGGGCACATGCCCAGATTATGGGCTTGATCCCCAGTAGGGGGTGTGCAGGAGGTAGCTGATTAATGTTTCTATCTCTTTCTCCCTCTCCCTTCCTCTCTAAAAATCAATAAAAATATCTTTAAAAAGAAAACTATTATCCTTAGTCCTGAATAAACTCCCAAAAGAGGTATCACAGCTATTTGTCTTTTCTAAACTACTACCTTAGGTAGTAAATTCACTTCCATTTGAGAGGAAAAAATGGGAGAAAGTGATGGTTTTCCTTAGAAGACATTCCTAGAGCCAGCATCTGAGTCAGCCATTTATTTTTTTTATTATTATTATTTTTTAATCCTCACCCGAGGACATTTTTTTGCATTTATCTTCAGATATAGCAGAAGGGAGAGAGGGAAAAAGAGAGAGAGAAACATCGATGTGAGAGAGACACATCGACTGGTTGCCACCCACACAACCCCAAATAGGGCCGGGGACAAACTGCAACCAAGGTACATGCCCTTAGCGGGAACCAAACCCGGGACTCTCTGGTCCGTGGGCTGACATTCTAACTGAGCCAAAATGGCCAGGGCTGAGTCAGCCATTTATATTCACAAGGTCTTCAGACTACCTCAGCTGAAAAAAAAATTTAGAAGTCAGAGCTATCCTGACAGCTTAAGAACTAATTTAAAGCAATGAAGGAGCAACGGAAAATATTGTTATAACCCAAAACACACCTTCCTTAGCAAAAGTTCCAAAATCAAACCTAAGAAAAATCACTGAGCTAGTATTAATCCAGTTAAGAGCCTACCCTTATTTTTAGGAGTTCAACAATCATTTACAAGACTTTGTGCCAGGTACCATGGAATCAAAAATGATCCATCTAGAAGTAGCTACATTCTTCTAGCAAGACCTTCTACACTCATTCAGTTGTCTTACAGCATCTACTTTTGCTACCAGACACCAATCTACCAACATGATGATTAGCAACCCAAATGGGTTAAATTTTAATTTCCTAGAAGGTACAGAGCACACCTAGTAGTTTCTCAACCCAATGAAACAAGAAAAGTGAAAACTACAAATCACCAACTACCTAATGAATGTCAAGAATAAAATGACACAATTTCATGTCACATTTCATCCTCAAAGGAACCCTATTAATTAATTTCCAGTCCTATCCCATTTTATAGATAAGAAACTAAGAGCTCAGAGAGCTTAAGTAATACAGCTACTAAGTGGTAGGGCTAGGCTTGAAAGTTAAGGCTGTCTAATTCCAGAGTACAGACTATTTTACTAAGAAGACCTGGGCAAGTAAGTCATTTCAATCTCTCTAAACCTGAGTCATCTTCTATAAATGAGACTACCTGCCAGTTATTACAAGATTGAAATGAAATGGTGTTCGTAAACAAGGATTATTAAGGTGTTTTTTACATACACAGTTTTTGGTGATAAAGCAAGAAAGGCAAAATCCCCAAACCAGCACGTCCTAACACCTCTAGAAAGAGGCAGAATATACTTCTGAGATGCCTCAAGCTAAAATTAGCTGAGGCACAGTCTTCTCTATTTTTAGTTGAAAAGGACCATGGAGCTGGGCCAGGTTCCCAGGCTCCGGCTTACCCAGTGGTCAACTTCAGACAAGCCAGGAGTCAATATCCAATTTTGTTCTATTGGGAAGAACTCACTATCCCTGCATATACTGGAGTTTTTTTTTTTACCCCAATACTACACCTGCCCATCATCAAAACCCTCACACGTCCACTGCCCACCATTCTGGAATGTATGCTTGAGTTCAAGTCATGATCTAACTGAACACTAAACTTCCAACTGTGTCCTGAGTGTCAGAGCTTTAGAGAACAGCATGGTCGCTTCCCTAAAAAAGCCTTATAGGCCAACTGGGGAAACAGCTATGTTAACCATTCATTCCAGTGCAACTTCTCATACACATTATTGTGAACTGCTGAGAATCACACAAAAGCACTATAGAGAGCAGAGATCAAGAGAGGCTGACAGCCCTGGCCAGTTTGGCTCAGCGGTTAGAGCATCGGCCTGTGGTCCGGAGAGACCCGGGTTCGGTTCCCGCTAAGGGCACGTACTTCGGTTGCAGTTTGTCCCCGGCCCTGGTTGGTCGTGCGGGTGGCAGCCTCTCGATGTGTCCCTTCACGTCGATGTTTCTATCTCTCTCTCCCTTCCTCTCTCTCCCTCCCACTCTATCTGTACAAAAAATGGAAAAATATCCTCAGGTGAGGATAAAAAAAAAAAAAAAAGAGAGAGAGGCTGACAGCCGAGGTGACAATGAGTGGGGACTTAAAGAATATGTAAATATTGCCCTGGCCGGTTTGGCTCAGCGGTTAGAGTGTGTTGGCCTGAGGTATGGAGAGACCCAGGTTCGGTTCTCGCTAAGGGCTCGTACCTTGGTTGCAGTTTGTCCCTGGCCCTGGTTAGGCAACCACTCGATGTGTCCCTTTCATATCGATGTTTCTCTCTCTCTCTCTCTCCCTCCCACTGTATCTGAACAAAATATCGAAAGATGTCCTCGGGTGAGGATAAAAAAAAAAAACAAGAATATGTAAATATTAAATGATGTACCATGTAAGACATTATTTAAGATAAGTAAAAATAGGGTGACAAAAGACAGTAGGTCTTATTTTATAAAATAGTGGTTTTTGTCTCCATGTAAATTGCTGGAAAAGGAGGGCAAGTATAATCTAGTGTCTGGGGGAGAAAAAAAAAGATTGACTAGCAATGAGATTAAAAAAGTAGAATAATGAAATTAGAAGGTTCTGCTGACACCTGCCCTTTTCCACCAGCTATGACCCCATACCACTGCAAACCAAGTGGATCCACACATTTCTCCTTCACCCCCAAGAAGACAGGACCATCCATAATGTTTGTGGATATACCTTCAAACATTATGTAGGCTTAAACCTATTACAGCACAGTAGTTAGCTTGTGCTCCCCAGGTGGACTTGTGGATTCAAAATCTGGCTCTACACCACTTGCCTACCTAAGTTACTTAACTTCAATTAGCCCCTCATCTTCAACTGATAACACAGTCCTTCCTTTCACAGAATGAATGTGCGGTATCAAAGTAGTAACACATGTACAGGGCCTCGCACACAGTAAATGCTCAAATGACACTGATGATTATTTTACCATAGTTATGCTGGAGTTCAATCAGAACAGTTCAAACAAAACTAACATTCCCTTATCCTTTCTTCATTCCTTCAATTTTTAAGGTGTCATATGACCCAGTGGTTTCTCTGTAGGTTATTTCCATACTACCTTCTGAATGCCTTAACTCCACTGACCAGTCAAGCAGCTTCCTACATCACATCTGATTCTTCCCACTGTGTGCATTTCTCTCTCCAAGTGAAAATCTCTTTACTCTTATCTCCCTCTGATGTTCTTTCCAAGTTTGGAGAAACACAGAATACAGACTTATAAAGACATAAGTAAACTATGCAGAAATGTTTTCCTAGTTTTTAAAATATTAATTGCAGCCAGGGTTAATAAGTTTATGCAATGAGTTACATAAAGAACCTAGTATACATAATAAAAACCTACCTGTGACAAGAATGTACGAGTCAATTTCTACCACTTCTATTTCACAACTGTAATAGTCATGGAGAGGGTAGAGACACATAATATGTCATGAATTATAGGGCAGTTCAATGAAATGGTCACTGGCTGAATGTGTATTAACTAATACAATATCAACCCAAGAAGAAGGGTCAAAGGCGTGCCAAGTCAGCAATGAATTTGGCTCCACCCTAGTCAACATTTACAATTTGAAGAAAGTAAAAGGGAATGCTTATCAAAACTCCCTCTGACTGACAGATGGTAGAAATTGTTAATATACTAACAGCTTGTGACAGCTTGAACTTGGAGCCAAAAGGAACAAGAGAAATTTTAAGAAAGACAATTGAAAATTCCCACACTTAAAAGTCAAACAATTACCCACACAATGGCTAAAACCTAGTTTCCAAAGTTCACATGAAAAGGTCCTAACTGAATGCAAGGTTACTGTGAGTCAGCAAAGCAATATGCTACAGAAGCTAAGCCTGACAGAATTCATTTGCAGCAGAATCCCAAACTTGGAACTGGTAACTGTCCAACCATTTCCGCAGGAGCCTGGTCATTTTTAGGCGCTACAGCCCCAAGGGCAACAAGGATGATGATCAGGAAACAAAAAAAAGTGTGCAAGAAACCACGGGATGAGAACTGGGGGGGGGGGGGGGGGGACGACCACAGTCCTCCAAAGGAGGTTTTATATTGGTAGCTCCAAAGGCAAGAGTAAGATAAGTGATCTTGTTCCCAGAAGGTTCAAACCAGAGAAAAATTTTCCAATCATCGGAGCCTGCCCATACGAGGTTGTAAAGCTGGAAGAATATATTCATCCTAAAGGCTGGATTAAAAGAAGTTGAACCTGATCATATCCATATCCTATCAAGGAAGAGTTCAATTCCATGACAGATACCCCGTTTTTAAAAAAAATTCGCAAAGAGTAAAGTAGGCCCATAGGTAATTAAAAGTTAGAAAATGACTATTTTTAATGTTGGTGGAACATCCACAACATATTTGTTATCAAGACATGCTACTTAGAGCACATAACTTAAAAAATAAAAACTGGCTTCTTCTGTTACCTCAGTGGCTTCAGGTATAAAGGCCATCAGTTGTAGGCAGACAAAAGGGGAGAAGGAAGTAAAATACTGTTCTAAGGCATTGTAACAAGAGTAAGATTTACAAAGCCAAATTCTCTTGAGCAGGTTCAGACAAGGTCAGCAACCTTGGAGTTCGAAAAAATTTAATTGAAATGAACAATGAATGAATGACCAGTCACTTCGTTCGGACCACCTGAATCACCCCGACCACACTTGTGAGCTGAATGATTAGTTATGGGTGTGACCCGTTTACAATACGGCTCCCAGCCCAAGGGGATTTTCCAGTCGGTTTTGATGACTTCAGATACCTATGGTAGGTCGCGTCCGAGAGGAAAACATTTTTTTTTTAAACAGTGAGGCAGCCTCCTAACAAGGGCGGTGTTGTCCCATCTGCCGGGCGTTGCTCGGGATCTAAGCACCTGAGACTGCTTGGAGGGTCTCGCGTCGGGGAAACCCCACGCCTGTCCCGGGCATCTCCTTTGTTCCGTCGCACGCCCTCACCCCACACTTCCTCCTCGGCACCCGCAAGGTCTGCGGCCCGTCCGTCTGCCTGCCCCCGGCTCGCGCATCGGGGTCACTTCCCGCCCTGCGGGCAGCGTTCGAAGAAGCACTGCGGCATCTGCACCCGCCCCAGAGCCGCGCGACCGCGGGGTTCTCAGCCCGCGCACGCGCACGCGCGGCCTCCTCCGCACTGTGCAACCCCGCGGGGGAGGAGGGAATCGCGGCCACGTCACAGCCCCGAGGGTTCCAAAGGGAGGGGCCTCCCGGGAGGTTACCGCGCTCCCCGCCGGCGCGCGCGCGCGCCCCTGCCCCCACGTGTTCCTGCGGCCCCGGGGAATGTGGGTCACGGAGCCGAGCGGCCTCACGTGTCCCCGCCCGCCGCCACCACCTCAGCGCCCATTATGTAATGCCGCGTCACGCGCCCGCCCAGCCAACCGGCGCCCGCGCGCCGCAGAACGTAAACACAGCGCGCACGTGGCTCGCGCGGCCCGGCCATGTGAGGGGGGGGCCGCGCCGGCGCCGCCGGGCCGCGCTGCGGCGTTGCAGGGGACCGTGAGGGCGACCGCGGGGCGGCCCAGGGGGCGACGGGAACCGAGCCCGAGTCCGATTCGCTGCGCGCGGCAGCCCACCCCGCGGCCCTGGGGACACCCCTGGTCGCCGCCCTCGGAAGTGCCCCAGCGGGCTCCGAGCGCCCCCTCCGCCGACCCCGACCCGCCGCAGTCTGGCTCTTACCCGCATTCACCTCCATGGTGCCCTCGGGAAGGGGGCCGAGGCCGCCCGCTTCCCGCAGAGGGGGCAGCTCCGCCTCCTCAGCGCCGCGCCGCCTCGGGCTGGAGGCAGCGGTGGTCGCGGGACCCCCTCATGGGCGGAGCGCCCGGGCCGGCGGCCGGAGAGCGGGCTGCAGACGGAGACGGCGACCGCGACAGCCGGCGAGCGGCGCTCCTCGCGGGGACCCTGACAACAAAAGCGGCGGCGCGGAGGCTTCCTGCAGCCAGCGCACCGCGGCGGCGAGGGCGGCTGACGGGGAGGGCAGCCGCGACCATGTGACCCGCGCACACACCCCCTCCCTCCGCCCGCCCCGCGGCCGGCCGCTGCGGCGGCCCCGCCCCCTCCCCGCCTCCCCGCCTCCCCGCCTCCGCTGCCCGCCCCGCTCCCCTCCTTTCCTCCGCTCCTCGCTTCTTTCCTCCATCCCCTTCCCCCTTCTCTTCTGTTTCCTTCCTCTGCACATCCCTTCTTTACCCTCCGCCCAGCCGACCTTCCCGCCTCGGGCCGGGAGCCCGCCCCACGCCCCCTTCCCAGGCCTGCTCCCCCGCCCTTAGCGGCACCTCAAGTCACCTCGGACGGTTACCAAGGGCCTCCCCGCGGCGCCAAGCAGACCGGCTTTTCAGGAGCCCGGGTTGTGCCGACTTGGCTCGGGCTAGCCCACACCCTGGCCTCCCGCGGGTCCCGTCCTCCAGCCCGACCGACCTCTGGACGCGGGACCCTGAAGACACAGCCCCTCTCTCTTCCCTCTACGTGCCCAGCGTGACCGCCCAGCCGGGTAGCTGAAATAGACCTGTGTCCCGAAGTCTGCCACTTTACCTTTCAGCCCGAGACCTCGCCTCCGCTCCGGATTCCTCCGTCCAGCAGCCCATTCCGTTATGCCTTGTTGATGTCCCTGAGCTAGCTCAGATTTAGGATGTAGGCAGACGTGCGCATGTGTCAAAACTCAGTGAATGGGCACCTAAGATTTGTGCATTTCGCCTTGTATATAGATTTTTCCATCAAAAGAAAAAAGAACCAAATGACATGTGTAGTGAGGTATGCAGAGGGAAGGGCACTGATGTCGGCAATTTAAATACTTTACAAAAGGACCAGCCAGTGTGGCTCCGTGGTTGAGCACCCATGCACCCAGAAATCTCCGGTTCGATTCCGGTCAGGGCACTTGCCCAGGTTGTGGGCCCAATCCCCAGTGGGGGGCATGCAGGAGGTGGCCAATGGATATTTCTCTCTCCCTCTATCCCTCCCACTCTGTCTGAAGATAAATGTAAAATATATCCTCTGGTGAGGATTAAAAGAAAAAAAAATTTTTAATGAGATATGATTACTCTGCTTAAACCCTCCAATAGCTTCCTATTGCACTTTGAAAAAACCCAACACCTTACCTTGACCTGCAAAGCCCTGCACAAACCATAGCCCCTGCTTCTCTTTCCAGTGCTCCCCTGCCACCCTCTAAACAGTTCTCTAACCACTGTGGTCCTCATTTCTTCCCTGCTCAGAGCGTTAGCACCCTATGTGATGCTGATGCATGAGTTCCCGGGGCTACACTTCGTTCTTTGCTTTTTCATTTTATATATCAACCACCATCTGCTTTTGCATGGGTAAAAATGAGGCCAATATGAACAGTCTAGAACGCAGAAAATAAATCATAAAAGGATACCACTCTGAAAAGGTTACATACTGTATGGGTCTAAGTATATGACATTCTGGAAAAAGCAAAAAGTGGAGATGGTAAAACTATTATTGGTTGCCAGAGGGGTGCAGAGGCAGAGCACAGAGGATTTTTAGGGCAGTAAAACTGTTCTGTATACTACAATAGTGGACACATGTCAAATGTATAGCACCAAGAGTAAATTCTCATAGAAGCTATGGACTTTAATGATTATGGAGTGTCAATATAAGTTCATTGGTGGTAATGAATGTACCGTTGTGGTATGGATGTTGATAGTAGGGAAGGTTGTGTGTATGTTTATAGGGACCGAAGGAATATGGGAACTCTCTGTACTTTCCATTCAATTTTGTTGTGAACCTAAAGCTGCTTTTAAAAATAAAGTATTTTTAAAGAGAGGATGCTACTATTTAAATTTGGAAAGGAAAAGCGTGGAAGTGTAAATAAGCCATTGCAAAGAAATAAGACCCCCTCTTCGATGATAATGCCTATGAAATAAAATCTGTCTCTGAGCCTCACTTTTTTTTTAAAAGGCCACCTGCTTCCTGTGAGGCTTTATGGGTAACTATCAGAGGCTATAAAGCTATAACCCAGGTCAGTCCCCAGCCACACCACTGGCCCCTGGAAACGTGCTGGGCTCGTCAGTGCCACAGGAGAATGCTGGGCAGCATCTGGGTGGGACAGGCCCGAAATGCTGGAGCTGCAGTGGAAATTGCCTTTTGCTGCTGTCATTCCAAGGAGCCTCATTTGTTAACCCTGTGGAGTTTATGGCTCAGTCTGTAAACATTCCCAGACTGTTCATAATGGATTTCTACCTACTCCACCTTCCTCACTCCTCTGACCAAAATAATAACTCTGTTGAATGAAGTGACTGTGTCTTCAAAAATCATGTTAAAAAATGCAAATTATTTCCCAGCAGGGCTACCTCATTAACTCTTATATTCCACTAACTGAACACAGGACAGTTCATTCTGGGTGTGGGTAAAGGAGGAAAGAACCTGAATAGTAGAGTCCTCTAATCCCAAGATCAAGCAAAATAGGCCAAGTGAAGTACTGCAGTATGAGGACGTGGATGTAGGAGAGGTATTGACATAGGTCAGGGGAAGGGGAAAAAAAGATGGGTTTCCTTGAAGTTAAGGCCAATTAAAAACATATAAGGTCATTCCTCATTTTAAAATGTTCTAATGAATATTTTAGTTCCTGATACCACAGTAACAATCCACTTAAATCTTACCTTCCCTATGCTCTAGATCAGCAGTTCTCAAAGATTTTGATCTCAGAACCCCTTTACACTCTTAAAATTATCGAAGACCACAAAGTGCTTTTTTGTGGACTTTAGTTATTGATATTTATCAATAGCTATTAGAGAAATGTTTAAAACACAAGAATACCCAGCATATATGTCACAGAGCAGTGACATCATCACATGCTAACAAATAGCTTTGGTGGTTTCCTCTGCAACAGCAATTGCAATTGTTATTCACCCTATTTGTGATGGGCCTTCTTCCAAGCTCTTTTTTTCTTTTTAAAAAATTTTTTTTTATTTTTACTTTTATTTTTTGTTACAGATGTTACTCCTTTTTTTACTCCATTGACACCCTCCTCCCCATGCCCCCTGCCCCGTCCCCGGCTTCGTTGTCCATGTCCACTGGTCATGCGTACATGCACATAAGTTCTGTGATTTATCTCTTCCCTCCCCCCACTGCCCCCTCCTCTGAGGGTTGTCAGTCTGTACCCTACTTCCATGTTTCTGGATCTACCCTATTCCTCAGACTTTTATGTTCATTATATTCCACAAATAAGTGAGATCATGTGGTATTTGTCTTTTTCTGCTAAGCTCTTTTTTTCTTTATTGTTATGGTCATAGTACTAACTTCTGTATCATATCCCAATTCTGCATCAAAGTTTGACTTTATAGTAAATTCCAAAATGTGTCTATTCTTATATTTTCCCTTAATAAAATTACCATATTTATATTTGTTTACATAATAATGATGTAAAAACACACAATGATTAAGATACAATATAGGGATTCATGACAAGTAATGCACTAAAAATATAAAAATTAAAAATGAAACATTTAATCAGATGTATAAAGTAACTTCTTAAAGCAAAAAAAAAAATGGACTTAGTAGCTAAAGGATCAGGCAATTCTGAGTATTGGCTAAATGGGGACGTGGGAAATAAAAACCACAAAATCAAGAATTTTATTTTTATTTTATTTTTTTTCCTGTGGCTCCCATAACTCTGTTAATTTTAATTCTTATGATCAAGGCTAGAGTTAGTATTTCACTTCACCTGGATAGCACCAATTTATCACATACTTGGGACCTAGAAAGAATATTTCCTCTTTTTGCAAAATAAAACCATTTGCAATGCATCTGATAACCATCACATAGCATCACTGAATATGATTAATCATAGACTCAGTCCACTTTTGTTTTCACAACTCAGTTTATATATATATATATATATTTTTTTATCCTCACCAGAGGACATTTTTACATTTATCTTCAGATAGAGCGGGAGAGAAAGAGGGAGGAAGAGAGAGAGAAACATTGAAGGGAGAAAGACTCATCAAGTGGTTGCCACCTACATGACCCCAACCAGGCCAGGGACAAACTGCAACCCAGGTATGTTACCTTAGCGGGAACCAAACCCAGGCCTCTCTGGTCCGTGGTCCCATGCTCTAACTGCTGAGCCAAACTGGCCAGGGCTCAGTGTATATTATTAACTGCCCCACTCATTGGTGCTAATTCTTGGTGCATCATCAGTCTACAGTGACTACATTTAATGACTCGGCTTGGAGTTCTGTTTAATGCAGAAGAATACTTTAATTATGTTGTAAGTAAGTAATAAACATTTCAACTTAATTACCAATTATGACTTACATAGGTGTCCCTAGGTGAATCATGTCTTCTCGTTTTGTCTCCATAAAATGTTCAAATAAACACATCAATATTGTATCTATACATAGAAATCAATCATTTAAACGAAATCAATTCATTGATACCAACAAGATCAGTGATATATTTATGTTCATTACTAGAAAAGATGCACAAATCCAACACATACTACAATGCAATAATATTATCTTACAAGATGCAGTGGTTAAAGTGAAATATAAAGTGGTCCTACCAAAAGAGTCAAGTTGTGTTCAACAGAAAACTATTTTACATTGTCCCAATTTTTTTGTTTTGTTTTGTCTTGTTTTTTATTCTCCCCCGAGGAAACATCAGTGTGAGGTAGACACATTGAGTGGTTGCCATCCACCGGGGCCGGGGACAAACCGCAACCAAGGTACGTGCCCTTAGTGGGAACCGAACCCGGGCCTCTCTGTTCTACAGGCCGATGCTCTCCAACCGCTGAGCCAAACCAGCCAGGGCACATACTTTCCCAGTTTTTTAACTTAAATTCAAATTAGTTAAAATCAAACAAAATTTAGTCCATCAGTTATACTAACCATGTTTCAAGTGTCATGTGACTAGTGGTAACCCAAAGGTGCATTAAAGATTTAGAGCCTTTCTTGTTCTTCCTGAGTCAGTGTGTTAAGTTAGTATTCTAGGGGATTGTTCATGTTTAAGTTTTCAAATTTATTGAAATAAA